GGTGTTGTGTCTGTGGCTGTGGCTGTGGCCATGTCTGTGGCTGTGTCTGTGACTGACTGTGTCTGTGTCTGTGACTGTAACTGTGTCTGTGTCTGTGACTGTGACTGTGTCTGTGACTGTGTCTGTGTCTGTGACTGTGTCTGTGACTGTGCGGTGTTCAGGAGGCGGAGTTAGCACGAGGAGAGGCCGAACGCCTGGCCTCTGTGGCCGACTCTGAGGCCCAGCGGTGCCTGGCTCTGGAGAGAGAGATGGTGGAGAGGCTGGAGGAGGGTGGAGACTCAGCTGGACTCTTTACCCAGCATGCATTGGCTGAGAAAGACCGGTGAGAAGGCTGTACAACAGAGTAGAGTAATCTACTGGGTCTCATCGAGGGCTTTAATGAAGCTTCTAATGGATTGTCAACCTCTCCCCCCTCACCTCCCCCAGACTGATTGAAGAATTGAAAAAGGAGAAACATTCTCTGGGTCTCAGAGTTGTGGAGCTCCAGACCAGAGTTTCTTCTCCAAAGAACAGAGGAAACTTGAAGGTAATTCTCCTTCCTCTTCTCCTTTCTCTTCTTGAAGTGCACCAGATCCAGACTAAGCCCCCCCCGTCCCCCCCATCATTTCTATTTTAAGCGTCCTCTATCTGTATTATCAGACATTCCTCAGCCTCAGTGAGTGAGGCCAAAGATCTGGTTTTAAAACATCTTTCCTCTGAAACATTGTAAAATATTACCAAAAGATTCTACAAAAGAGTGCAACTCCGGGGCCACAAGCCTTCATTTTGACATTTTACAATTTATTAAAAAGCAGCAGTAAAATCATTATTATATAGTTGATTTGGTTATTTTCTGGTTATAACAAATATACTGTTTTTCCTCACAGAGTCAGGATGAAGATGGAGATGAAGACACACTGAGGCAGGTAAGAAGAACCTTCACTTTAGAAGCAGTCTGTGATGTCATCAACAGTCTGTGGTCACCACGAACTCTGGTTGTCTGCACAATTCAGTTCTGGGACTGCACAATGACTCAAGTGTGCAGTGAGGTAGCTCCATCTAGTGTTACCTCGCCATCAGTGCACTCTCTCCCTCCTCTCTCTCCTACACACACACACACTAAATATTAAATATGAACTGGAGGTCATGAAGGTCAAAGTGACCCTAACAGTGACCTATTCTCCACAGAGGTGACCGTAGCTGGGGTGGTAGTACTGTTCTCTCAGTAGAACTGTTCTCTCAGTAGAACTGTTCTCTCAGTAGTACTGTTCTCTCAGTAGAACTGTTCTCTCAGTAGAACTGTTCTCTCAGTAGTACTGTTCTCTCAGTAGAACTGTTCTCTCAGTAGAACTGTTCTCTCAGTAGAACTGTTCTCTCAGTAGAACTGTTCTCTCAGTAGAACTGTTCTCTCAGTAGTACTGTTCTCTCAGTAGAACTGTTCTCTCAGTAGAACTGTTCTCTCAGTAGAACTGTTCTGTCCATACAGTGGTTTTCTCTTTGTGAGTTCACTCCATTAAAGTCACAGTTCTTTCACTCACTCCCTCGCTCATTAAACCTGATGAACCCAGGAGAGAAGAGGAGCTCTGTGGAGTGACCTCCTTCGTCTGCTCACCCATGTGTTCTCCCCCGCTGTCACCCGCTGACAAACAAACCGTCAAAGTCCACGGCGTCGGCCTCTCCTCTGATGAGGATTAATCCTTTTTTGATTGCGCTCTGGTTTCCAGTGGATCAGTGTTTTGGTGTTGCGTCCTCCGAGGCTTGTAGAGGTGACAAATGTAGACATGCTCCGAGTCCCAGCCAAATACAAACAAATCCCACGTGTGAGGCTCTGAGTCAACAACACGCTCTGGAATCAGCTGCAGAAAATCAAAGACAGATGAGGTCTTCGTGGGAACGGTGGAACCTGACAGCGGGAGCTGGAAATGACATCAGTTTGGAAAAGCTGCTTGGTGGAAGTGTCATGTGATCCACTGACACTGACTCTGCCCACACTGGGAAATTAGTGACCTCATCAGACGCTGAGTGAAAAAGAAACAAAAACATATTAAACAATGATTTCACTTCAAATTATTTATTTCTGGTGGTATCTGCTATACCACAGTTCACCTACAGGGGGTCACCCCACAGGGGTCAATATTAACCTGGAAATGGAATCAATCACTCAGAAATGTGTGACCTCAGAGGCCCTTGGAAAGTTTGCCTTACACATCTGTTTTAATCACTCAAGGTCATAGGTTCGATCCCCAGAGGAATCTCGTCTTAATGGCGCCTCCTATTGCATTCTTTGTGGATTGCAAAGAGTCATACTTTGAATTCACCCGGGGCTAGAAATTAATTTACAATTCATTTCACAGTCAGCTAAGAGTTGGCGAAAATGTTGAAAACAAAACGACTTGAATCATTTTCCACACTAAGGCACCTCATTAAAAAAATCACTGGGGGAAAAGAAAGATCTGTGCAGTGATAGTCGCCGCAGAGTGAGACATTATGCTCGACATAGAGGATCTTTGTTTGGTGTCATCGTAGCCGCTCCCTCCTCCTCCATCATCCTCGGCTGATGAAGACTGCTTCTCCCGAACAGAAGGATCAGACAATAAACAAATCCCCGGATTTATTTTGATTTAGATTTTTCCCCCCCGTGTTCACATGATCAGACCGGAGGAGGTGACGGAGGAGGGCGGAGAACATCTGCCGCTGCCGCTGCTCCTCTCAGATGCTGTGATCCTCTGATCGCGCAGACGCCGCTGATTTCCACAGACAGGAAACGACAAGCTGAACAAACTGAACAATTTTTCGGGAAAAAAAAGTCTCCGATTGAAAACCTGGATTCGATCCTGCAGACACGTGACCAAACCAGTGACTGCAGAATGTAACGCGTGGCAGAGAAACTCAGCAACATCCGGTCTGTTGGATTCACTGACAGATGAAGAAAACACCCCGTGTCATGACTGGATCCAGGAAGAGAAAAAAGTGGCTCCACCATCATCAGTATCACTGACCTACTTTCACTTCCTCCTCATCGTCATCATCAGGAGCAACAACAACAAACCTCCTCCACAGCAGTGTCTCACAGTCTGAAGGATTTCAGTTTTGATTTTTTTAAACAGCCAAGTAAATTCCAGATTTAGTTTTTACTGTTGACAAGCAAGCTAAAGATTCTCCTAGTCAGCACCAAGTCTGCAGACTCTTACTGCTTCTTTGGGAGCTCCTCCTGACCAATGGAATAGGAAGTCATGCGTACTGCACTTTTAGAGGAACTCTGAACATCATCTGTGCTGCTGGAACCTCTGGACGTGGTGAAAATGAAGGAGGTGTGTCGGATCTGTGCTCGTGAGCTCCTTGGAAACCAACGCCGATGGATTTTCCATCCAACAGCTAAGCTCAACCTGCAGGTGCTGCTGTCGCACGCTCTGGGCCACGAGCTGACCCGGGATGGCCGTGGGGAGTTCGTCTGCTCCAAGTGTGCCTTCATGCTTGACCGCATGTACCGCTTCGACACGGTGATAGCGAGGGTGGAGGCCCTGTCCCTGGAACGCCTCCACAAACTCCTGCTGGAGAAAGAACGACTCAGGCAGTGCATCGGTGGACTTTACCTTAAAAACAACGTAGAGGACGGTAACGTAGCTCCGGCTGAGTGTAGGGTTGAGGTGGTGGTGACTCCTGCTGAGACTCCTGTGGTTGATCTGTCCAACCTGCAGAATGTGAGGTACTCTGATATGATCCAGGAAGACCTGGCTTTCTCAGTCTACGAGTCATGGGCTGACAAGGAAGAACCTGCTCTGGACCACCACGTCCACCACTGTGAAGGAGGAGACTCCCTCAGCGGCCAAAGGCCACGGAGGTGCAGGGGCTGTGCAGCCCTTCGTGTGGCAGATTCTGATTATGAGGCAGTTTGTAAGGTTCCCCGAAAGCTTGGTCGAAGGAGCACATCTTGTGGTCCTTCTACCAGATACTCCAGTAGTACTCAGGGTGTAGAAGAACTTAACAAACCATGTGGAGGATCTGAAGCCACAACCCTTCCCTTTGACTTTCCTCCAACCGGGCCGGCTGCTGATAATGTTCTGCACGACCAGAAGAGTCCGAGTCCAGCGTCTTCTGTGGAGTCTCTGGACACGACGGTGGCGGTCGACGACAAACTGAGGGAGGAAACAGAACTTGACAGAGATCCAGAGGAATCACCCACAAGAAGGGACATCCACTGGGGAGACCCCCCTTTTGACAGCTTCCTCTCAGGGCTTGAGGAGATGCTGAGCCTCCTGAGAGGTTGGGAGTATCAGCCAGTGAAGCCTCAAAGAGGGAGCAAGCTCCCAGTTCTGGTGAAAGCCAGATTGGAACAGAGTGTTTTCCTGCGTCAGTCCATATCGTTGAGATCTCCATGTGGAGCTGGACCAGATCCTGAGGTCTTCTCCAACATGACTGTACCACAGGGGGTGACTCCGTGTCTTCAGACAGAGCTGGCAGAGATGGAGGAGCAGTGGTCGGATGATTATGTTCAGTGCAGACCATTCCGTTTTCAGCAGGTAGTAAAACCAACGTAGGAACCAAATGTATTTATTAGTAATAATAGAAATGTGAGTCTTTTTGATTTGAGCAAAAATAAAAAGCCTGGTCTGAACACGCCTCAGACTGATCCAGATCAGATCTCTCTGGATTCACCAACTCTAACACACTTGTTGCCTTCATTCCCCTCTCTGAGGGGGGGCATGAATGCCCTTCCTTGTGTGTGTCCTAGCAACCCCTCGGTTGGTATGGGAACACTCCTCACAGTGCCGCTGCCGCTGCAGCAGCAGCATCAGCAGCGGGGGGTCTTCTCCGGGGGGACCAGCAGCGGGA